TATATATATATATATATATATATATATATATATATATATATATATATTTGTTAAAGTGTACCGTTGTACGATGTTTATTTAGTGAACTAACTCATCTGTACAAGAATATCGTATCAAGCTAATACACATTAACTAGCTTCAAGGATTTATTTAATTAACTTGTTATCTAAATTTTGAAAAACACTAGAACATCAAAATCCTACCACGGACTCAAAAATGACCATTTTTGACAAATACCTTGTTTGGCAAAGCTTCTGAATAAGCTTATTTTTAAAAATATTTTTCTCAAAAGTACTTATCAAAAATGTATGTTTAGTAAGAAATAACTTGTATTTGACTATTTAATTTAAAAAATACTTTTGAAAGATAAATAGTATTTGGCCAAACTTTTAAAAAGTATTTTAACTGTATTATTCTCAAAAGTATTTTGGGATGAAGCTACCTTTTTCTTTTTCTCAAAAATTACTTCTACTTCTACTCAAAAATACTTTTTTCATTTTAAAAGATTAACTAAACACCTTAATTAAAAAAAAAAGTACTCCTAGTACTTTTGGCAAAAAAAGCTTAGCCAAGGACACTAAGTGGGCGTTTGGACGTAAGAATTGTAAAATTCCAAAATAAGTGAATTTTTTTTTCAAGTGAAAATGGTATTTGAAAATTAGAGTTGTGTTTGGACATGAATATAATTTTGGATTGTTTTTGAAATTTGTGAGTGATCTGAGTGAAAATTTTGAAAAATAATTTTTTGGAATTCTTCAAATTTTCGAAAAATTCCAAAATTCATTTTCAAGCGAAAATTAAAAATTTTATGGCCTAACACTTATTTCGAGAAAATGTGAAATTTTTTCAAAAATACAGAAACAAATTCTTATGTCCACACGGGCTCTTGGACATAAGAATTGTAAAATGGGGACGAAAAAAAAATTCAAGTGAAAATGGTATTTGAAAATTAGAGTTGTGTTTGGACATGAATATAATTTTGGGTTGTTTTTGAATTTTTGGGAGTGATCTGAGTGAAAATTTTGAAAAATAGCTTTTTGGAATTTTTAAAATTTTTAAAAAATTTCAAAATTTATTTTCAAGTGAAAATTATAGCCAAATACTGATTTCGGAAAAAACTAAATTTTTTCGGAAAAAGTGAAAAAAATTTGATCTCAAAGTAGCATTCCTTTCTGGCGTACATAAGCATAAGTGCATAACAACCAAAAAAATCTTTAAAATGGGAAAAGGGTAAAGAAGCGGACAATTAAAAACCGAAAAAGGTGGCATTCGGCTCCATATAAAAAGCAAACATCTCCAAATAATTGTCGTTACATTACCACTAACTACCACATTACTATGACAAACAAACGCCCGCCTTCTGGAAAGCAACTTCACCAGTAATAATAATAGTAAATTACTCTAACCCCTGTAATTTTAAATTATTTTGTTTTATGGGTTTAATTTTCTCTCTCTATATTTTGGGACGAAATACTTATCAAGATTTCAACTGTACGTTGATGATTGAAGAAGCTTTTTTTTTTTTTTTTTTTCTCAACCCTTTTTAAGACCTCTTTTTCTATCTGTATTCCTCTCTCTTTATTGACTTCGTTACCTTTTCTTTTTCCAAACAAATGTTGAAGTTGAAATTCTCAGCTGATTCTACACCCAACTTGAGGTTGAGCTGATTCCTTTGTTTTTGCCCTTTCACAGAATATTTGGGGTTTTGCTCAATTCAGCTATAGATTTTTCTATAATAGGGTTTAATTATTTGTTTCATCTAGAATCATCTACCAAACTATACGACCCTTCATCTTCTTGTTTCCTTTTTTTTTTTTTATGGAAAATTTTGGTTCCTCTGTTTCATACCAGGTATAATTTTCAGTAATTCTAATTGGGTCTATAATTTCCCTGTTTTACGATCATAATTATTGGTGTCTTCGTATAAAATTTGAGCTAAGTTGGTACATAATCCAATTCATTTGATTGATTTTGGAAGCTGTAATACAAAGAACTGAATTAGATTTGTTTAAATTCTCATGTTTATGGTAATTGGGTTTGGTTGTTTAGCTGCTCCACTTGGTTCAAACTATTTGCACAACTTGGCTTACTTGCTTAAATAGTTAAATGTTCCTTTATTGCTTTCTTAAATGCGGTTTACAATTCTTTACTCCAAATATTACGTCAATCACAAGTTTCTGTTTCTCTTTCTTCTTTCAAGAGAAGAAATGTACTTTTCTGTGACTTTATTGTAATTGGGTTCAAAGCCGCCATTTTTTTGACAAATCTGTCCAAGTTCATTATGGAAGGAGGAATTTTAAGTGTTTATGATGGTTATTTATGAAATAGAAGCACATCTCTGGTAATGTAGAAAAATCACAGCACCTGTCACATTTCATTCATTTCTTGTGATCTCTTTTTTCTCTTTATAAGTACTGTGTGTTTGCACTTATACTTACATAAATAATTCTCTTTATATGATGCAGAAATTACTAGAGAAATCGACTGATCGTTTTATCTGCTGATTATAAAACCAGGGTAAGATGGTTTATTTTCTTACAGCTAAGGCTGGCATCTATTCAGTTTAGACACATTATGTACATAATCACAATAGAGACTGCTGACTTGACAGGTGGTTCTAGTGGCAGTATATGGGATAGTACTCGTGAGCAGCCAACTGTTTTGTTGGTTACTCATTTATTATGATTTTCACTTTATGAGTAGTTTCCAGCTCAGTCTTCTAATTTCTCTTGTGGTGATTTTATTCTACAGGGTTATTCATGTTACAATTTTTTTTTTCGAAATGCATTCATGAAAGAGGTCATTATTTTTCTTGACGTAGTTTTTGTACTATGATCATTCTGTAATTTATGATAGTGTGCTGGCAGATACGAGAAAATTTTAGGATATGGGATGCTTTGTTTCGACGCCGCAAGATACTGGTGGGAATAGAAGACGGCCGGGAAACATTGGCGATGTGTCTGTATTTGTTCCTGGATTACGTATTCCTAAGCCGGTTGATTTCTCTCTTGCATTTGGTGATAAGTTGTCGAAAACCCTGGTGGAGCGCCTTTCTGCTCTCAGAACCAGAATAGTTGTTATGGCAGGGCAAGAAGCTCCCACAATTACAAGGACAAGAAGGAAAACTGCTACTCAGCATGGTGAGTTGCAGAGGAAGCGCAAACACATTTTTTTGGAATTTGGCCATGTTCGTGTCTCTTTCCTTATATGTGGATATAATGCTTAGAACCTATTTCTTGCAGGAGGTTCAACCCTTGGAGATCTTTTGCAAGCTCTCGAAGACTATTTGCCTGTTCTTTTGGGGCTAGTTAAAGATGGTAAATACTTTGGTTGCTATCTCATTAGCATTCGCGCGTTGTTGATTTTAGTTGTGAGATGTTGCTTTCTTGGCCATTTTCAGGGAGTCCATTACAACATAAAGTGCAGTTTATTTGGGTCAATCAAGAGGATGATGCAGAGGTCAGACTAGAAATTCAATTTTCTTTTCGTTTCTGTTCATGTTTAGTCTTCTATTTGATTTTGCCACCATGAGGGAGAACTGTCTTATTTGTCAGCATATTTCAGGAAACTGCAATGTTTAGTGCTTGGTATGAAGTACTGTCCGTTTTGCACTTGATGGCAACACTGTCGTTATCGCAAGCTAACTTGCTGCTTCTTCCTAGAACATCTCTCGATGGTTATTCACCAAAGGTATCTGAAGGTGGGTATTGTTCCCATGTTTAACATTGGAGATTCAGTAACTGCAAGTAAATGTCTTGATGTATTCTTTATATTTATAACACTTGATTTCTTGGTGAAGCCTCTGAAACTTCTTTCAGGACACATTCATCTTGTGGCTTCAAATTGATCTTTTGTTTTCCTCATTTTGGCTTTAATAACTGACAGAGAGCAGGCGATCTTCTGTTGATGTTTTTCTAAAGGCTGCTGGATATCTCGATTGTGCGGTTCGAAACGTTCTTCCCCAGTTGCCTGCTGAACAAAGGTTTTTGTACCAATACAATGCAAATCCATGTTTTTGATTTAAATCTATCAGGGGTTAGATTTTCACTATTATTTGCATTGTATTTAGGAGAAATCTGCCAGTAGACCTAGCTGAAGGAGTTCTGCGAGCGTTGTGCCTCCAAGCATTAGGGCAGGTAATAGCTCATTCAGAGCCTATATTTTTTTTGGGTTGCATTATTTTAAAATTTTAAACGTCCAATACCCATAACTTCTCGATGCTTTACTGGATACTCTTTCTCTTTTTGCTTCAATGAGTGTCCAATGATATCTAAAATTGTTATGGATGAATTTGGACAATGTAATTGTATAAGCAAATACGTATCATGCTTCTAGTGATAATCTTTCAGCTTCTCTTTTCTTGACTATCATTTGTTAACATTCCAAAAAGGTCAGTGACATTCAAATAGTGCACCAAAGACACTGGAATTACTGTACGAGGGCTCAGTTAGGAATTCCTATGTTAATAGATAGGATTTGTAGAAATTGTCTATGACAATATGATTCGGATTTGCTGAAGAAGAAAATGACTGTTTTCATGTATTACAACAACAACCCAGTGTAATCCCACAAGTGGGGAAAGACATGCCCAGTGGGATTGGCTCAGTAAATATGCACAGGGCTGAAACATGAAATCTTCACACAAAGATAACGCTATTTGTGCTGTCTTTTCATCTCAATATCTAATCTGTGTAGAGTCTCTCTCCTAGTGTGTATTTTGCTTTGCCTTGGTTTTTAATGGAGCTTGAGTTCTTCATGCCTGTTACCTCTGCTTTCAATGGATAGAAGCATACTCTAATGCACACTGATTAACAAAGTGTTAGATATCTGTTTAGTATCCAGCGACAGCAAAAACAATCTATTTTCCAAAGATTGCTGTTACAACTACAAAATAGCGAAGGGGATTGCCTGGGTACATGCTTAATATCTAAACGCAGCAAAACCACTCTACTTGGCAAATTTTCTGCTATAAAAATGTGCACAGTAGTGAAGGCGGTCATCTAAATTTGAGTTACCTAAATGCAGCAGAGTTTTGTGCATTTAGCCATTTTGATTATGTTTGGTTAGTTCTAATATCATCCTATCCCTGAGCATTAGACGCATTTTTGTTATTTTGGCTGTATTATGGTGCTGTCCATATGCTTTCTTGTGCTAATAATTCTCGTTGAATAAAGATGTTAGCTGTTGCTTAGTCTCTCGTTAAGAAAATGTACCATATGGATTAAATTGTCTTCCCTTTCTGATGTATCTGTCACCATGATCTTAGGCTGTTGATATTCAGCTTGGGCTTGCAATTGACAGTACTAAAGCAACACTGGCTGTCAAAAGAAGGCTTGCATGCGAGATGGTAAAATACTGGCAGCAGGTACTGAATCCTTTTGCCAAAGCATGCTCGACTGCTCTAATTTAAAAAAAGGGTTATATGAATCCTTTATACAATTCGGCTATATTCTAGTCCATTTCATTCCAGTGCTAATTAAATCAGGGGTTCTTTGACTCTCGCACTTATTCCTACACAGGTAACTAGTTTGGTCCCAACTAGTTGGCATTGCCTATATGTATCATTTGCTTCAATTGGAGTAATTGGACCTTTTAAACTCCTTCCCCTAACATAACCACGGAGAGGGGAAAAGAAAGCTCTGTGTTATTCCATTTTATAGAATATTTTCTTTTTGTCGCCAGATAGTGTCTGAGATATCAACTACTTTGCTTTGTTGTTACCTTACAGGCTCAAGATAACATCATGAACCTTCCGTTATCAAATGGTTGGGGAGAAAAGCATAGGCTTTTCGTGAAGTGGAAATATATTGAAGCCAAGGTATCTTGTGATTCTCTTTCTTTTATTTACTTCTTTAATTCCTAGATTTTAGTATATATGTCAACAACAAGAGTTAAAAAAATTATAGACCAAAGTGTTCCTTGATTTTACTTACTGATGAGTGAAAGACTTCCTTGACACAAAGCTTGTCCTCTATAATGTACAACTTTTTCTGAGTAATTCATGCAAGGATGACATCTGAGCACACTTTATTCTGGTTTGATGACATATGTAACTTAGTCGAAGCAACATGCAGTTGGATTTGGCAATTGGTGTGCAGAGCATAAAGATTAGAATGCTTAGTCTAGCAATTGTCATTCAGGGATATGGGATAGCTTTGTGTCCTATGTATGTTAACAAGCAGGTGCCAATATAGAATAAGGAACTCTCACAGCACCTTATTTTATCTGAGTGTCGTTAGCTTATGAATTAAACCAACTAGTTTGGGACTGAGGTGTAGTTAACTGACTTTACCAACCGTCATGGTGTCATTAGCGTATGAGTTTATATCAAAATGATCGGCTTTGTCTATTCATTAGCAAATGTGCTATATTTGTCGCGGATAAAGCACACAGGACCCCTAAACCAAAAATAAAACACTGGAAAATGACCTACAGCTGAATTGGGGTCGGATGGGATTGTGAAAATAGTGGTGCAGATGTCATGCAATCCATCCAAAATTCATGCCATAAACTTATTTGTCGTTCCTTTTCGTTCAACAATGCTGGCCTGGGTCCTTTGAGTGCTTATTTAACCAGCTTGTCCAAATAGTACTCTCAATTCCATTGTTTTCATCCTATGTTGAAAATGGACTTTTCTGTAGTTTTTTATCTCTCTCAATATCCTGATGCTTCGGAAGTGGCTGATTTTATAACCTTGCTGAATGCTCTTAGAATTTGACATATGGTGTTAGGGATCTGAAACTCGTATTTTATTGTTCTTCTTGTGAATAACCTGATAGATAATTGATAGTGTACATCTTGCTGGCTACCTCGATTTGTAAGTAAAAGTCTCCTTTAAACTGACAATTTATGCGTTTTTTGCTCTTCGAAGACTAAATGCTTATAATTTTCTTCAATTTAAGCAACCTAAAAATCCCTCTTAATTATTTCATGGAATGAGTATTTATAGCATAAAACAACTGTTTTGTTGTACTGGAGAACCCTGCATCTTCCATCAGCAAAATTCTTTAGGTGATATCTTTCAATAGTCACCGTTGGTGATACAAGAAAAGTTGTCGAAGTGAAAACTCCTCATATTGTAACTCCATAGTCCATGTACTTAAGGACCTTCATGCTGGTCTCTGGAAAGCTTCTGCAGCTTCTTTGCCATCTTTTAAGTCTATTGCATTTTTCTCCCCTCAAGCTTACGCATGACACATAAAATTCTGTGTAGGCTTCAGCATACTATTATCATGGTCTAATCCTTGATGAAGGAAACACAGAAAAATCTCATGGAATGGCTGTAGCTGCCCTGCAAGCAGCAGATGAATATCTAAAAGAAAGTAAGAAGGCGTGCGAAGCTTTCAACGCAGCCATTCCTCTCTCCAGGTAAACTTTGCACGATCCATTTTTCATTTTCTCCCTTTAATTACTCTTCAACTCCCTGTACTTCCTATATTCCTTATTTTTCTTGCTATGCAGTGAAAGAATTTATTTTGGAAAGAAGTGGAGAAAACTACTTGTAGCTTTGGTAGAATTAATTATGAAACCAAATCTATATAGAGACCTGAGCTATTAAGAACATTGGGAAACTATTTATACGTTTAATTCTTCTTTAGCTATCAATTTTGATTATAAAATAACCCTTTCAATCGGATAGCTTAGTGCAGAGTTTCAGTTATGGCTTTCATCTAGTGACTCTCAGAAGATAGAAGAAATCTTTAGTTTAGCTTCAACTATAGGACTTCCAACAGGTGTCCTGCAATTGGTCTTGTTATTCATTGGTTTTTTGACTGATTATATCTCTTTCTTATCCTTTAGTGTTTCCAAATCCATCTTATCAGGAAACATCTTTGAGCTACACCGTTTTCAACAAACCTCTGAAATATTACTTCAGATGGCATTCAGATGTCCTTGAATGTGGTTTCTCAACATAATACCGTATCTGAAGCTAGTGCTAAATTTCGCTCTGTGCATGAAGCACTGTATAATGAAGAGTTCACTTTTAGCCCTAAATTTAAGATTTACCATGTATGATCATACTAACTTGTAGAACTGTGTCTAGTGCTTAAAATTCATCAGACTGGGAAACGTCATATTTTCATTTGGAGCCTCTTTTGTGGTTGTAGTATGTCATCAATCATCATTAACATAGTTTTTTTTTCACCCTACCTTATCCTGTCTCTTCTGCCTGCCTGACTTCCATTTGCCAATCCAGAAATCCTCCACTCTGGGGGACGATGAAGTATCTCGCCGAGAAAATTCCAAAGGACACTTCGAGCAAGGTGCGAATCAACAGGGACTTGTACTCTTATGAAAAGTAAGTTCTCTTTTTTTTTTTTTTTGACCTCAAAGATATGATGATACTTGGCTGCAGAATTGCTTATCTGATGTAGATTGCTAAATTTTGATATTGGTTTTGAGAGATGGCATGCATTCCTTATATAGGAGTATATTTTTTGAATTTGGCTTGATATATTAGAAGATAGCTTCTTGACTTTGATGAGGTATAATATTGTAATAGCACAATGAGAGCTTTGTTCTGCACCACCAACTAAACCAACCCCTTTAAGCAAAAAAATAAGAATTAAAAAAATAAAAGATAGACTAAACCATACCCCCAACCCCAACCCCCAACCCCCCCCCCCCCCAAAAAAAATGCACAGTAATGACAACCAATTACAAAAATGAGGAGAAATGGATGAGTGCCAGAGATTGTTGTCTCTAGGGAAGTTGCAAATAAAATAGTTTATGCATGTTTTAAGCTTAATCAATGTGCAAGATAGTATTTCCATGCTGGAAAATTACTTATACATGAAGAGGATGCTGTAGAATCATGGAGACAGCCCCAACACTGCCAGACTTTGCATTGGCTCTCAAACCTGATGAATATCAGCTTCCTCATGTGGATGCATCTTGGGATGATGAAACTACAGGCAGGGGACAGATTAACCTAAACAAGCTCAAAGGGTGACTTATTTGATTCATCAGATTTCAGAATCTGGAAAATCCAGGCTGGTCGAAAGTGCAGGATGATGGTAGTCACATCCCCATGGTATCGGACTCTTGCTGTTCACTGAAGGCCCCTCTTTGCTGCACCTCTAGTTGAATCCGATCCCTATTTCTCCAGTAAATTAAATCTTTATTTCTTTTTTTTCCTATCAGATGTATAGTCAACCCTGTGAGTGAGTACTGTACAAGTTGCATTTGTTTGTAATCTACAGGAAAAGGAATGTATTTCTTTGCCAGGCTACCAAATAATTTGTACTGCCTCTTGTCCAGCAACCTGAACCCAGAACAAGCTTTTCTTGAAGTGCTGATTGTTTGTAAGACGGACAAATCTCAGGGAAGAATGTTATAAGTTCTACAATTTGTGTCTGAAGCTTATTTGTAGAAGAACCAATCTGTATCTGTATTTTTCGTTCAGTTTCAGTTACTAAGTGTATAAAATGCAACACTATTCAAATGTTAGATTTCTTTGGCAACGACTCTTCCATGTAGGAAACTTGAACTCTTGCAGAATTAGAAATTTTTTATGGGAAATTATCAGCTATGTCCATTTATAAGTAGCTCATTACATAAATTGGCCAATTGATAAAATATTACTAATATTAGCCAATTAGCTATTTATAGCAAAAAAATATCAAATTTTTGCTTTGTTTTGAGTGGGTGTTATTAGAATAGATTGGGCACAACTTAAGGAGCTTGAATCTCTGTTTTGAGATGATTTGGTGAAGTTTTGAGGTGGTTTGAATTGAAAATTCGAAGTACAAGCTGAATATGAAAAAAAATGATGTGTCGCATTGTGTATCATTTGTGTATCACATATGTATCATATTTGTATCAATTGTGTATCACATGTATATCCATGTATACCTGTGTGTGTGATACATGCGTGATACATGTTTGATACATGTGTCGCAGAAGACTTTTTTGAACTCGATTTAATTACGAATTTTGATACAAAACCAGTCCAAATCACCTCCAATCTTCCTCAAATTTTGTATATTGACTTATCTATATACTTTCCATGAATTTCAACTATACCCATTGAAAAAGTTCTTTTTTTGTTTAGATTTTTGGAATATTTTATAGATTTTTGTATTTCATCACCTTATTTGCTATCCCGTCCATGAAATTTCCTTTCCGTCTTGTATCTAATGTTGCTAATCACGCTTAAAAATATGGAAGGTGATTTTTGCATGTGATTCTTTGAGAGAAAGAACCCTATTATTTGGTTTTTCAATTTTTGTTGGCTAGTTTTGGTAAGTCTATAACTAATGGCTAGAGATTGGTAAGTTGAGATTTATTTGGGACATTTGTGTAAATTTTCCATTTTTTATCTTGTGCTTGAAACTAATGAAAGCAAGAGATGCAAATGGAAAATAAAGAGAGGAAAAAGGAAAGGAGAGTTGAGAAAAGTCATTTTCTTCCCTTTGTTTGGTGCGGGTGGAAAGGGAAAGTAAAACTTGTGACTACATTTTATCTGTTATAAAACAATAAAAGAAGAAGAAGAGTATTGCAGAGAAAAGTAGAGAGAGAGAATTTTCTTATTGATTTGGGATGAGTTACAATGGAATAGAACCCTCTATTTATAGGGAGAGAGTGACTTAGCCACCAAGTAATAAACCCTAAAATTTCTCTAAATATAGACACTCACCATAAATAAATTTTATTTATAACACTCCCCTTGAATGTCTATTCAACTGATAATGTGCCTCGTTAAAACCTTAACTAAAATAAAACTCAGTGGGAAAAAAATTCTAGAGAAGGAAAAAGAGTACACATATCTAACAATACGCCTTTTGGTTGCCTCGTTAAAAACCTTGCAAGGAAACCCAGTGGGACAAACCTTGTAAGGAAAAGAGTACAACGCGTATAACTCCCCTGATTAGAGCATCAATTCACATCCTTAAGCATTTGCATTCCAATCTTGTGCACCATCTTCAAAAGATCTTGGTAGAGATTTGATGAACAAATCAGCCGTATTAACTTGAATGAATATATTGCACCTTGAATCATCATTCTTGATAGAGATGGATTGTCTTCATATGATCTTGTTGAAATCGTCATTTCAATATCTTCACATAGGGGTGAAAAACCTTCC